ATTACATTATAAATATTGTACCTATATAATTAAAATTACTTAAAATTACTAAAATGAATTCCGCTCAAATAAAGCTGATAGGTGTTACCGCTTTTAACCATCCAGTTCAGTACAGAAATAATGTGAATAGTTTTAATAATTTAAATTATCAAAGAAGGCTTTAATTGACAACCAACGATTCCAGAAACACACCAAACTGGCTCATTGGTATATTCGAAACAAGCCAAAGTTTCCCAAGACGATAAATATATGTATATGTGCGGAAAGAAAAGGCAGCCTTCGCATTCAGCTGCTGTCAGTCGCGCGCGAAAACTTTTCAATACAAAGTATGACGCCCATGACGCTACTAAAAGGAGACATTGAAGAATGCGACAGTCCCGATGAGGCGACAGAACAGAGGAGCAGAGGGGCCAGGACCAGGCGAAGAGCCATAAGCCGGCCAGCGAGCCACGGTAAGGACATTTGGCCCAGCCATATATACAACTGAATGAACCGCAACAAAGGCACTCAACTGACTCCGATTGTGATTCCGGCAACTACTACGGCTGCGAAACTCGCTCAATGACTATGCAGGTGAAAAAACATAACTTTAATGATTAATTCAAATTGGCTTAAATTTAAACTATTTGGTTTGTACGAGTACCTTTTTTAATAAAATAATTGATTAAACAAATGTTTTTTTCAACTTATTGATTATATTTTAATTGATAAACGATGCATTTAATTTAATATAAGCTTAGTTTTTTTTTTAATGTAAGCCAAATATTCTATATTAACCCCTACACTCCCTATTTTTATTGTACAATACCAATTACTGCTAATGTTATGCTCTTAATAAGAGAAATAAATTAATTAATACCTAAAGAATTGATATTTTTACAGTGTACGTCTACGACTGCAGCTCGCGCTTTGTCTTGCCACTCAGCTGCACTAGCAACCACCACCCACAACCACCCAGAGGCGCTGTTGCATTTGGCCCTGGACAAAACCGCAAGCAGGGCGAGCATAACAAGAGTTCTGTGAATGGAAAGGAACCGAGTTGAGGGAGAGGTGCAATCTAAGGGGATGGCGGGGGCTGACTAGGCAGCTGCCATGTCAAACTGAATGAATGGATGGATATATGGCTGGAAGGCAAACCAACCACAAGCAGGCCAACAGCTTGGCCAACTTATATGTACGCACAGGCACTTGGAAAAAACGATTATTTTGTTTTGGAATGTTATTAGCATTTCATATACCTACTTATAAATAAAACTAATTAATTAAATAAACAGGAATTTTTTAGAAAACTTGAATATATGCCAAAACTTATAATCACAGGTATCCTTAAAATGTGTTTAATATTTTAAAATGTTATTAATTGTTTTGAAATATTATACGAAGCCTTTTTCGAGGAATTCGTTGACAAGCAGACACCCCACATTGTCTTTAATAATTGTATTTAAATATACCCCCTTCTTAGTTTCGGGGTACAAGTTAATTTCACAAAGCAATATTTTTTTCCCAGAAAATCAAATGAAATGCCAAAGTAATTCACATTTTTTCAGTGCTCAAACACATGCTTTGGCACATAAGAATGGAGAAGTGCAAAAGTGAAGATGAGGGGTCCGGCCAACGCATGTCAGGCTGGTCGGCCAAGAAGAAAAGCTCGTGTGCTCAAATGTGAATGCGACCAGAATTGTAGTCGTTGCCGTTGCCGTTCTCATTCTCGTTCTAGTACTCGTCCTCTAACAAAAAGTTTCAATTGTCTTTGGCCGAGAATGTGTGAATGCGATTGTCCAAGTTTCTCATTTGCGGCAAGGGCTTGGATCCGTTTCGGTCTCGTTTCCTGTTGCATGTGGGTACAATTAATTTTTGTTGCGAACATGCAGCACATGATCGTAAGTATAATGCTGATGCAGATGCTGATGATGATGGTCATGCCTTATGCAGCCATATTGTGCAATCCCTGGCCTGATAAATGCCCCACTTGACCCTTGCCTTAGTAGAGACGATTCCAACTCGTTTCTCTATCCGTTCGGATTTGGATTTCGGCCCGTCCTTTGTGGCCATTGGGGGGGCTTATCTCTATCTCAGATAGTGTCAGCACCAGAAACTTTCGCCATTAATGAGTTATGCAAGGCCCGAATGGAAGCGGGTGTGCACTTAACGCCGCATCCTGCATCTTAGAAATTTAATTCAAGTCTGGGTATTTTGATTAACCCTCTCAAACAATATTTTGCTAAAATAGATATTTTGCCAGCTTATTTCTACTTTAAATTAAAGAATTTTTGTTGAAACTATTCATATAAAATAACTCATAAGTTTCAATTTCTTCCTTTAAGGATACTTAGGTTTTTTTAAATTTTTGTGCATATATGTTTAAAATTTTTGAATGTATGTCGATTATCCAATTAATTTGTCCGATTTTAATAATATAAAAGTTGTAATTCTGAAAATGCTTAAAATGTTGATAATGAGAATATTCGTACGTACAATAGAAAGAATATATTTGGAAAAGTTTTATTCAGATAGATATAAAACTGAGACTCTTTGTTGCTCCTGGTGATGATGATCAAGAATAATAAAAACAGGCTTAAATGCATTTTGAATTCTTGAAATTTGATGATATTTTGTAGATAACGGTTTAGGCTTTTGATTACCATAAAATTATCAATGTTAAGCCAGTAATGTGAAACGGTTAACGTTTAGATTGAAACCTGCTAGCTATGTGTCTTATTTAAATTGAATTATGGCTTAACAATTTTTTTAAAATAAATGAAAGGCTCTTTGCTTGATATGGGTTAAGGCTTGGCTTACCTCCTTCTCCTTCTTGTGTCGTTAATAAAGCAAATGACCAAAAAGTTTTCAGCCAGGAAATTAGCATTTGGCAGCTTTCGCTTCAGTCAGACTGCCTTCTTTCTGGCCACAATGCTCCCTCATTTTCCTGGGGAAATGCAAATGCCGGGCAAAGTGTTACGGTTTCTGGGTTTTTTTGTTCTTGCTTTGGCCACCGCGCAGTTGATGGCAACCATGATTAGTTTAGCTCGGAGGATCGCAGCCATTCCGCCCGTTCGGGCCACATGCCGCATTCTACAGGCCACATGTTGGCGCTGTTTTGGCATCAAATGTTTTGCACTGCGGCTCCGCTTTTAATATGATTGCAATTCGCGCTGCGGGGCGCCAACGAAGCACTCGCATTCAAAAGGCTGGATGGTCAACTTTTGCCGTCATTGCGGCACTGCACACACGGCGGTAGTTCTATTCCGCCATTTCAATGTCTTATCAAGTGGAGCACTCAAAAGTGAGATCAGTAATAAGTACATTTTTCTGCTATTTTTGGCTGCTCTGTTTTGATTTTTAAGTTAACTGCACCACTGATAAATGAACAAACTTTTTAAATCTTAAAGTAAATTTTAAATAAATTGATTTTATCTGAATTTTTCCGTTTTGGATTTTGTTTCTGTACTTGGACAATTTCCTCAAAGTAATCATAAAAACCAATTTTTTTCTTTTTGTATTTAAGTTACAAGATACCTTCCATTTGGCTCAGATGCGGTGTCTTTAATCGGAAAGAATTGCAAAAGGAAATTACTGCGGCAGCGACAATTGCACGGGAATGACATTTCAACTGGCCCCTGCACATTAGTTTCGCCTGGCTGGGCCCAAATGGTTTTTGGCCAGCCGTCAGTGTCGTCATAGCCCGGCTGGCATTGGACCAGAGTCCTTCCACCTTTCGGTTTCCTTTACTTTGCGGTAATTAATGTACATATGTATGGGTTCGGCTGAGCGTGTGTGCACGAGCGGGGCGTCAATTACTTTGGCTCCTGCACTTGGCCTGTTACAAATTACAGGCTATGGGGCCTGGCCTTTCATGCGGAGAGTCCTTTTTGCGGTGGCCGCTGGAGCTCTGTGAATTTTATTGGCAAATCAATTAGGTGGCTTCAAATTGTGTTTGGCTGCTGGTCAGCGCTTAATTTATTTGATTTCATTGGCGACCGTCGAGTTTTCTTTTAAATGAATGCCAAAAGTTTTGATCATTTTTATTTTATACACATTATTTTGGCTCTTCTCATGCCAGATGTAGCGGTCCTCGGTTCTTTGTGGTTGTCATTATTGCCAACAATCAGTTATGGAACGTGGGAGGAGGGGTAGTTTTGCGGGGGGAATCAGCGTAAAATTTAATTAGCTTTAAGTGTGTTGGTTGCGGCGGTTGTTCAGCCCGTTGTTGTTTGCTACGGTTTCGTAATTTGTTGTTAATTACTTTTTGCAGAGCGGCTTTTATTGGAAATTAACGCCAGCAGGTTTTCGGTATTTCTCGGTGTATATTCCTATTTGGTTAAGCGGGGCGAGGGGTTGCTACTTAAATTGAAATCAGCCATAAATAGGCATTAAACTTGGTACATAATGATTTTAATGGCGGTTTTCTATATTATGCTGATTACTGTAAATTTTCGGTTTCAATTTGCCCGTTGTTATCGATTTCCCCCTTATCTTTTATTTGCCGATGTTGTTGCCATTTCCCGTTGTCTTTTTTCAATTTGCCGCTGTTTGTGTGGGATTCGAAACAAATTTATCTAATGACTCTGCCATTATTTGCTTTTTGGGCGCGCATTTATTCCATGGCCATTCAATACGTTGATTTATGGGTTCGCTTTTAAATTTGCATATTGTTATTAATTTGGCTCAGACTTTAAGTGGCTTAAGATGTCTAGGCTGCGATCTGTACCATAATCATAATTTATTTACCGGGCTGAGAGCTGCACTTTTTCAAAGGTGAAATAATAACCTATTATATAATTACTAATTTATGTATTTTACATCTTTAATTAGCCAAAATATTCTAAAGACAAATGTAGAAAATACTGCACACATACTGTGCTACGACATATTAAGCTAACTTTTTTTTAAAGTTTTCTGTTTATGTTTTAGTAACGATGGCTACTTAAAACTTAGCTAACATTTCCAAGAGTTTTCTGTCAATAATTTCATATAAATTAGAATTAAAAGTTGTATTAAATTGAATGAATTGATGGTAAAATGGGTGTTTTAACGAGTAACTGCTGTTGCTCCGAGAAACCTACACCTGTTCGGGTGATTGTGGAACGGACTCGGGATAGTGTGACTAATATCTTAACAAAGTGCCGGAAAGTGGGCAATGGGGCTCGTCAGGCTGTGAAGAGGGCCAGAAATCGACACCTCGAAAACCGAGTTACGCTACAATGTTCGAAATCCACGATCGAAAGATACCGGTTAGTGCGTAAAAAGAAGTTTTTTATTTTCATTATCTTTGCAATTAAATTAAAACTGATCAATGTTTTTTAGATTCTGCAGTAGCTTTGGCTACGAAGAATTGGCAACAGGTGTTCTTTTGCTGATGATCCTGCTTTTATTTCTGTTGGGACTTCACCTAGTCAGAAGGTATAATCACACCTTTGCCTACGGATCAGGCGGGTGCCTATCGACAGTTTTTTGGACATACGAAGAATGTCTTATAATGACCTAAGGCTAAACCATTCTGTTTTTATATGCCCTCTTTCACTATTTAATTGATTGTGGCGAATAAAGTGCCCCAAATTCATCTCAATTTTAGGCGAACTTCGAAAAGCGTATTTGCGCCAATTTTACATTGTCAAAGAGCCGACCACACAGTCAAAAAAGGGGAAACCCTACACCTTTAGGTAATTAGGCCGTTGGCAGTTTAGCTCTTTTTTCTAAGGGGGCACTGCCAATCATCAAGCTGTTTAAATAATAAATCACTTTAAAATTAGTTTGCCAACTTGTGCGAGTTGAGCGACAGCAAATTAGTGAAAGTTAATTAAAACTATTTAAATTGCAAATTATTTTAACGTTTTTCACACACTCACACGCCGGCAGAGGTGAAACCCTGTAAAAAGTTGAAACGTAATTCACGCATACCGCCCACCAAAAGGAAAACTCATACTTACCCGTACGAGTGTATATATGACTTTTCACAAAATGTTTAAATGAGGGAAATTAAAATGGGGTAGAGGGCTCACCGTGGAGTATCTAAAAAAATGTCAAGTTGCCGGGGATGGATGGGAAAGTCAACCGGGAGGATAAAAAAAAGGGGGCGAGGTTGGTAGGCGTTGGGGCGTGTACGTGTGGCGCAACAATTTGCATATAAAAAGGGTTGTTAGACTTTAAATAGCAGGCCTGGCCTATTATATGCATTAGGCCCCAGATACGGCGGGGCATTAAGATAAGGCACTTACGCCCAGCTTACCACGCTCCGTATTTCGTATTCCAAAGACCCGGGTAACTCCATTCTCCATACAAGCCGTGCGCACAGTCACCTACGCAAAAGTTAATTTATGCGGGCATGTCTGCACTACCCCTCTCCTCCATTCTCTGCCACACAATCCCTGTCTCTGTCTCTTTCGCCGGGAGTCTGGCTTGTTGAAATTTTAATTAAAGGGAAAATATTTAAGGATGCAGCAGCAGTAGCACAGCACCGGCAGGAAGAATGAATAAAAAAAAGAGCGAAACGAACCAAACTTGAATGGAGTCGACGGGGTCGGGAAGTTGCGAAATAACCCGCATACTCTAGAAACTTTTGGCCTTGCAAAGAACCTCGGCATCATCATCACTTGACAAGTACTTAGCTTCCGCCACTGACTTTTGCTTAATTCCTAATGATGGAATCCCAACTGCATAGCACGTAAACAGAAGCGAAAAAATAAAACAGCGAAGCCAAAGGTTTGCGTCATAAACGTGAGATAATTATGCTGATGGCACGTTGTGATCCAAATTGGGTATGAGAAAAGGATTTACACTTTTTGATTTTTTTATTTAACCATGCCAAGTCGACTTCCTTAGCATTCGCAAAACTTATGCTTTTAAAGCTGCATTTTTATTAATATTAACATAAAACAAGAAAGGAAAGCTAACTTCGGACGGAGCCGAAGTTGATATACCCTTGCAGAATATTCTGTAAATTATATTCTTCAAAATTATTCATATGGTGTATTCTTAATACTCATTAAAAACACCAAAGTTATGGCATTTCCAATCGTTCAGTTATATGGCAGCTATAGGATATAGTCGGCCGATCCTTATGAAATTTGGTAGGTCGGATTGATTGGCCAAAAATAAAACCCATAGAAAATCCCAACTTAACTTTACAAACACCAAAGTTATGGCATTTCCGATCAATCAATTATATGGCGGCGATAGGATATAGTCGTCCGATCCTTATGAAATTCGGTAGGTCGGATTAATTGGCCAAAAATAAAACTCTTAGAAAATCCCAACTTCCTAACTTTAAAAACACCAAAGTTATGGCATTTCCGATCGTTCAGTTATATGGCAGCTATATGATATAGTGGCCCGATCCGGCTCGTTCCGACTTATATACTACCTGCAATAGAAAGACAACTTTTGGGAAAGTTTCAAGCAGATAGCTTTAAAACTGAGGGACTAGTTTGCGTAGAAACGGACGGACGGACAGACGGACAGACGGACGGACAGACGGACAGACGGACAGACGGACGGACAGACGGACATGGCTAGATCGACTCTCCTGGTGATGCTGATCAAGAATATATATACTTTATAGGGTCGGAAATGTCTCCTTCACTGCGTTGCAAACTTTTGACTGAAATTATAATACCCTCTGCAAGGGTATAAAAAAATTTGTTTGGCTGCAAAACCAACATTACTGATACAGCAATCTTCCTTTTAAGCACGAGTCATTTGAAATGTAAAATATGCCAAATAAAACTGTATAAGCCCAGATCTACTTTTTATTTGCAAATAAACAAATCAGAAACATATTACTCATTAAAGGCATGTTTCCCATCATGCTCAGCGAATATTGACATTTCAACTGTTCGCAAAACTCTGAAAATAATTTTTTATATACCAAAAACTTGAAAATAATTCAAACAATTCAGCTCAATTAAAGACTACAAAAAATCACCGCAAGTACTTCTTTAAAAAAATCAGAAAAGTAAATCAATGACATCCCAAATCTGTACACTGCTTAATTAATTATCGTTCAATTACCTTTGCAGAGTTTGCAACTCTTAATTAGTTTATACTTTCCGTATCTTTCACTTTGCTTTGCCATATCAAATCGAGATCTCCGGCACCAGTTGACCCTTGGCCTGGATGCTCCAATCCTCGAACTGGTATTTCAATTAGCAGCCTAATAGAGGCTGAATGACTTCTGACCCTGCAACGTGCAACAACTGACCGCAAGGAAGGCACGTCGGCAGCCTCCAGTTGCATGTTGCCCAGTCAGCCTGCATCTCTTTTAGGCCGCCCAGATTTTTTCAACTTTAGTCAGGAGATCACTAGGCAACAATGGCTGAACCCAGAACACTTGTAAAAATTATTAGAAAATGTCTTTCTTTTATCCCAGAGGGAGACTCTTAAAGTATAATATTTAGTTCTTAACAGAGTAATAGGAGTTAAAGGAGAGCAAAATCTATTTTGATGTATTTAATTTAATTCTTAGGAATCCGTTGACTTAAGTAGTTTAGCCAATAAATTAATGTCTAAAAAATATGTGTTTAATAATAATTAGTATATCTGATAACCTCTCCATTCTAAGACATATTAGTACTTAACGAAAATAGTACGTACAAATTTTTACATTTTAGACATCTATTTTTACTGGTTTATAAACAATTATTTCACGCTTCTAGTTTGATATTTGAAAAAATAAAGTCATGTGGCCGGCGCTTAAAATATAAGTTCAAGCTCATAGCGTTCGGATGGAATAAAAAACCAATTTAATTAATTGGAAAAAACATTTTTTTTCTCTGCGCATAGCATCAGCAACCTTTGCAAATATGTCAATTGAAGAGGCCTGGCTACGTGAAGTCCTTTACCTGATGTTGGCCTCTATTTTTGGGAGTGGGTGTATGTCTGTGGGACTAAATGTTGACCGGGCTGCTTTTATGAGGCTCTTCTAAATCAATTTGACAGGGATGCGGCATAGAGCAGGCCAGGAACTCATCAAGACCGCAACGAGGTCCCCTTCAAAGCGATTAAACGTGGAACGTTTGCGTTAGTCAACATAGTTTGACATTCCAAATTAATGAGCACTTAAGCGCACGCATAACGCATTTATTTTGGCTGAGAGGGTGCATGTCGGTTGGGCGGGTCTGTTGTGGGTGGTTATCTGTGTGCTGACACTTTGGCGATGAACCTGCCAACACGAAAGTTAAGTGTCTCTGACAGACAGCCCCGAATTTGGTGGCTAGATTACGGCACACATTCACCGGGGCATGATTTATAGGGTTGCCACGTGGAATTATGCATGTTCCCAGCCCGCAATTCTAATTATGACGCATTAATCACCGAGGAGCCAGTTTATATATCTGCTTTTTATGGCCCAAAATATATAAAGGAAATGCTATAAATTAGCAGAGATTTGTGGGCCTGGTCAAAATGCTAATTTTAATATAACCTTGGTGCGGAGAGTTTTGAACATTTATGGAAAACGTCAGAACTTAAATGCTCTCGAAGAATGGATGAAAGGTGAGTACGTGTATAGGTGCAAAATAAATTAAAATAATCCGCTTCACGTACGTCTGGCAAATTAAAACAAATGACATTCCGCACAGTCACTTGCACACAGAATCGTAAAAAGTGAAAGAGAAATAATAAAAATATAAAAAGGGAACTTAACGCGCGACCCGCGATGAGAATAAAAATAAAAATCACCTCAGAGCAGTAAAAATAACAAGGAAAACTAAATATTTCATAAATCCCCAAAGCAGCAACAACGCAAAACCTCATGACCGCGGATACCGCACACACTCACACATTCCCGTAAAGTTGAAAAAGAGAAAAATTAAATCAAAAACATAAAAATAAATATTAAATTTTCCAGCTTGCTTTGACTGAAGCGCGGCAAAAAAAAACAATCCACGTTGCGTATCCGCCACGTTGCGGTCGGATTCAACTCTGCCGTTTTTGCCACAGCTTGTTAAAGCTCACGTGGCTGTCAAACGATGTCAGTGACTTTCTCGACTTTCCCCCAGAAAACTGAGCAGGAAATTAGAGCGAACGCCAGCAGAAGTCGCACAAAACAAACAGACAAAAAGTTAATTGTATGAAATCAACACACTTAAAGTCAACAGCAACAACGCCAACAACGGAGCGGCAGGAACAACTCGAACAACAAATACGCTGAACATGTTGACAACAGTCAAGGGCAATATTAGGGGCAGGCCCCAGAACCCCAGAAAAACCCCTGGCAAACCCCAGCAAAGTGCTGGCAATGATAGCAGGCCGGGGACGGGGCGTGGCAGCGGCAAGGGGCTGGAGCTGAAGCTAAAGGCAGTCAAGTCGATCTACAACCAACAGTCAGGCGTTGAAGAGCAAGCAAGGACCAAGCCTCACACACCAAGAGCCGGCAACCAAGGACAACTGTCGGTGCACAGAGAAAAATATCACCAAAATCGGTGGTCAGTTTTTATGTTATACATTTTACAATAAGTGATAGTCTTATAACCTTTATTTACAATTGACTTAAAAACATAGCATCACTTTTGATTAAATAATTTTAAATAATTTCACCTATTAATAAATATTTATTAAGTTACTCAAAGT